GGCTGAGAGGATTGCTGAGTCGAGGGGTTTGAGACCAGCCTGGGCAACATGGCAAGATCTCGTCTCAACAGAAAATCAAAAAATTAGCTGGGTGTGGTGGTATGCACCTGTGGTTCCAGCTACTTGGAAGGCTGAGGTCAAAGGATCACCTGAGCCCAGCAGGTTGAGGCTGTGGTGGCTGAGAGCATGCCACTGCACTCCAGCCTGGGCAACAGAATGAGACTCCGACTCAAAAAAAAAAGAAAAAAGAAAAAAGAATGTGCTGATGAGCCAGGTGCAGTGGCTCACTCCTATAATCCCAGCACTTTGGGAGGCTGAGGTGAAAGGATTGCCTGAGCCCAGGTATTCAAGACCAGCCTGGGCAACTTGACAAGACCTCATCTCTACAGTAAATCAAAAAATTAGCTGAGCGTGGTGGCACAAGCCTATAGTTCCACCAACATGGAAGACTGAGACTGAAGGATCGCCTAAGCCCAGCAGGTCGAGGCTGTGGTGGCTGTGAGCATGCCACTGCACTCCAGCCTGGGCGACAGAGTAAGACCCCAACTAGAAAAAAAAAAAAAGAACGAGGCTGGGCATGGTGGCTCAAGTCTAATTCTAGCACTTTGGGAGGCCGAGGCAAAAAGATTGCCTTCCGAGTCCAGGTGTTCGAGACCTCATCTCTACAATAAATAAAAAAATTAGCTGGATGTGGCGGTGTGTGCCTCCTGTAGTTCCAGCTACTTGGAGGGCTGAGGAGGAAGGATCACCTGAGCCCAGCAGGTGGAGGCTGCAGTGGCTGTGAGCGTGCCACTGCACTACAGTCTGGGCGAGAGGGTGAGACTCTGACTCAAAAAAAAAAAAAAAGAATGTGCTGATATCTAGCACTGATGAAGACATGGTGAAGACCCGGAGGGAGACTCGGTAGCCAACAGAAGCATCTGCTAGTCCCCCAGGTGCTGTTCTTTAAGTTTCTCCTTCCTCTGTGAAGCACACGCCTGGGTTTCTTGTTGAGACTGTCACACAGGAACAGAATCAGGGGCCATGCCCAAGCACAAAGGTGATATTGGTCATGTCCTCCCCATCTATTTCTACATAGTTCATCAGAGAAGGAATTAAATGAGCATAATTTTTTTATAGGATCAGTAAGAAATCAATGCTGATTTGGGGTTAATAAGTAGGAATGGGATTGGTTGCATAAGCCTGCATTACTGGTCAGTTTGTCCCTTTTATCTCCAATTTGATTACATCTGTCCTCCGAACCTGTATATATGGCTTCAAAAGAAGACTCACCGGTAAGTGATATAGCCAATGGCACCAAGATGTTACTCAGACGCCCAGAGACAGAACAGGGGGTAGAATAGAAAGCAGAGGTTGAGTCTCATTTCAGAGGGAAAAACATGCAGAATGGGGGAGGCATGAAAGGCCCAGGTGGGAATGGGAGAAGTCCAGGTGGGGGCTGGGTGGTGGACGTGAGAACTGATGGGAGGGAAGGGGGCACAGGAGGGCACGGTTCTTCAAGGCACCTGTTGTCCCAGTCTTTCACAGTCAGTGATTTTCAAATTCTGCCCATTTGGAGCCCTTGATTTCTCACTTCCACTCCAATTACTCATTTCGTAAATGCTGGTTCCATGTCAAATGTCCTACAACATAATCCACCGTGGATTTTTTTTAGGGTTGGAGTCTCACTCTGTCGCCCAGACTGGAGTGCAGTGGCCGCTCCCAGTCACCGTAGCCTCGACCCTCTGGGCTCCGGAGATCCTTCCACCTCAGCCTTCCGAGTAGCTGGAACTACAGGTGCACGCTACCACGCCCGGCTCATTTTTTGATTTATTGTAGAGATGAGGTCTCGCCAAGTTGCCCAGGCAGATCTCAAATCTGCGGGCTCAGGCAATCCACTCACCTCGGCCTCCCTAAGTGCTGGGATAACATGCTGAGCCACCGAGCCCGGCTCTACCGTGGATTTAAACAGAGACAGATCCCATGGAGGTAGAAGGTAGAATAGACACCAGAGGCTGGAAAGGGGGTGTGGGGGTGGGGGGCAGTGAAGAGTCTGGTTAATGGACACAAACATACAGCTAGATAGGAGTAAGTTCTAGTGTTCGATAGCAGACTAGGGTGACGACAGTTAACAAGTGTATTATGTATTTCAAAATGGATATAAGAGAGGACTTGAAATTTTCCCAGTATTTATCCTTGAAATAATTACTCAAGCTAATGGACAGACTGTCCCGACGTGATCATTGCATGCTCTGTAACAAAACGTCACTTCGTGATCATTGCATGCTCTGTAACAAAATGTCACTTGTGCCTCGTAAGTGTGTCAAATGTTGTGTCAATAAAAACAAGTAACACCCCATGGTCCTAGATAATGACAAGCACACAAATCATCTGACAATTACTCTGGGGTTTTTGTCTTCCCCTGACTGCAGTCTGGGAGTTGATAGCACCTGCCATTTTTTTTTTTTTTTTTCCTTAAAAGAAAAATGTGAGCCAGGCTCGGTGGCTCAGCCTATAATCCCAGCATTTTGGGAGGCTGAGGTGAGTGGATTGCCTGAGTCCCCAGGTTCGAGACCCGCCTGGGCAACTTGGTGAGACCTCATCTCTACATAAAATAAAAAATTAGCCAGGTGTGGTAGCGTGCGCCTGTAGTTCCAGCTACTTGGAAGGCTGAGGCAGAAGAATCGCCGGAATCCCAGCAGGTCGAGGCTGCAGTGGCTGGGAGCAGCCACTGCACTCCAGTCTGGGCGACGGAGTGAGACTCCAATTCAAAAAAAAAAAGAAAAATGTGGTCTTGCTATGTTGCCTAGGCTGGTCTCAAACTACTGGGCTCCACCTCCCAAAGTGTTTGGGTTACAGGCGTGAGTGCCACCGCACCTGGCAACCCACCACTTTCTTGACTATCTTTATGAAGGGTCATCCGCTTCCAAAAGTCTGTGGGGAAGTGAAGTCAACACTGAATTTAGATCCATACAACCTGAGTCTGTGCCTTGGCTCTGAGGCTTATCATCTGTGTAATCCTGGGTAAGCCACTTGCTTTTCTTAATAGCCTTTTCCTAATCCCAAACTCAGAGGGGTACGCATAAAAAAGAAAACAGAGCATTTTGTGGAAAAACTTGGTGGAGGTAAACACTCATTATCTTAGACTGACCAGTGTCTGTCTGCCAGATAAGATCATGGAAGGTGGAATCCTGGTAGGTATGATGACCACCCAGCTTCCCTCAGGTCTTCACCCTTGGAAACATGTTCAGGGAGCAAATCTTTCTCCACTAATGAAAAATAATAAAGTACACTGCAGTTACTCATGAATATTTCATGCACAGAGAAGAAAATAAGCTCCCAAATGGTATCCAGGTTCTTTTTTTTTTTTTGAGTTGGGGGGTCTCTGATACCTAGCCTGGAGTACAGTGGCAGTCACATTTCACCATAACCTTGAACACCCAGGCTTAAGCAATCCTCTCACCTCTGCCTCCAGAGTAGCTGGGACTATAGGCATGTGTCACCATGTCCAGCTAGTATCTGTGTTGCTCAGGCTGGTCTCAAACTCCTGGGCTCACAATCCTCCCACCTTGGCCTTCCTAAGTGCTGAAATTATAGGCATAAGCTACCACACTGGGTCTTGGTGCCCACATTAAGCCTCTGTGGTAGCAGCCCGGGTCTTTTAGTTGTGTTAAGGGCACCACTATTTGCTTAAATCACAGGTAAATTTTTATCTCATTTATTTAAATAGAGGCATGGTCTCACTGTTGCCCAGGCTGGTCTCAAACTCCTGGCCTCAAGTTATACTCTTGCCTCGGCCTCTGAAGTGCTGGGATTACAGGCATGAGCCACTGTGCTGGTCACAAGTAGAATTTTCTTAGTTTCAAGTCATAGTTGATGAAGTGCTTTGGTTGAAAACACCAACTTCCTTTTAAAATGTTCTAGAAATCAGACAAATGAACCTGGCTAAGCCAGGTTTTAAATATACATTGGTGTTAGTCCTAACCTATGTAATCTACGATACATTTTTGTTTTTAAGGATAAGGAACATTTGTGTACGTGTATTTTGTTTGGGTATGGGGAAATAAGAAGAGGCACTTAGAGGGCCTCCTTCTACTGGCAAAAAAGGGTTCACTGACCACAACCACAGGCAAAAGTAGGTTAGAGAAACGTGTTATTAAATTTAATTTTCTTTAAATACATAACTTTCTCCCCCTGCCACCCACTCCAGGGAGGAACAGAAAGTCCCCACCCCTCCATTCTGAGGATCCCATGTATACAGCCTGAGATGGCGAGAATGAAGTATAAAAATACTATTTACAAAGGGGAAGTGGGGATCTGGTGTTACCTCAACCTCAGACACCCCCAGCCCCAAGCCCCTTTTGATCCTTTAAAAAGAAAATCCCCTGGGAATCAGTGAGTATAGAACAAGCCCTTCTCTAGGGGGGGCCTAAACCCCGACGTGGACTAGGAAGCTCTGAGATTAACTGAGGAAGAATGGATAGCACCTCCGGTCCTGGCAGGGGAAGGGTCGGCCCCTCCACTACCCTGTAGTCAGCTGGCCACCCGCCAGCCTTTGTTACCATAGGTCCCATGTAAACAATGACTTTTTCCTTTATGTCCCTGCGCTTCTATTTCATACAGAGCCTCCCTCACCTCCAGTGGAAGCACTTGGTTCCTTGACCTTTCCTTCCTTCCTTCCCTTCTAACCTTTCTCCAGGAGGAGTGGGGAGGGAAGGTTGTAGGTGGGGCAGAATCCATTTCATCCTCCTAAGGGGAACTTGAGGGGATGTTCTCCATGTTCTTAATAGGGGAGGATGCCTTCCCCCAGAGCAAGGACTAGACGGGTAGATCCTCCAGTACCAGGAGACAGTGCTCTTGATGGGTGATGCCACCAGAACAGAGTAGCAGGGAAGAAGGCTTCAGGAGGCAGAGGTGGGGCAAAGTCTCGCCCTGTTGGTAGAAGCCCAGCTCTGGACCATCCATCCCCTTCAGGGGAGCACAACCATCACCACCCTACAGTCCTGTTCATTGGAGCTGTGTGTGCAGAGGGACCAGGCACCCATGAGGCAAGAGGTCTTCTCCAGGTCTCGGTGTGGAAGCTGCCCTCACACCAGCTCGTCCAGTAGAATCCCAATGCTCTGTGTGGCCTCTGAGGGACCAGCAATGGGCTTGTTACACATGGGGCAGACACAGCGCACTTCCAGCCATTTCACTAGACACCTGGGAACGAAGGCAGAACTATCATTGCTAAGAAAGTACTTCAGACGGCCCAGTTGTCTCTCACAAAAAAAGCATTCCTATCCCAGCCCCAAAGGAGCCCCTCTGGGTTTGCCTCGTGTCGACAGGGCCTGGGACATCACTGTCAAGGAGTAGATTGGAGGTGGCAGGGACTGGAAGGTTCCAGAAGACGCACCCTAATTATCTCTCCTTGGAAGGGCACCCTGTACCCATCCCTACTTACTTGCGGTGAAAGGCATGTTGGCACGGGAGCACACCTAGCTCGTCCTTCCCCCTGAAGTCTTCCAGACAGACTGCACAGGTCTGCTGCAGAGTGAAACAGGGGCGTGTGATGAGATCGGGGAAGCACCTCACTCACCCATCCTGTATACCCATGATCTCCTCCCCAGCCAAGAAAACTACTCTCTAGTACAGTTTCCTCAATCAGTCAGAGAAACTTTAGCCATACTGCACTGACAATATGGTAGCCAGTAACCACATGTGGCGGTTTACATTTAAATTAACCAGGGCCAGGCATGGTGGCTCATGCCTATAATCCCAGTGCTTTGGGAGGCCAAGGTGGGAAGATCACTTGAGGAATTCAAGACCAGTCTGGGCAACATAACAAGACACTGTCTCTACAAAAAATTAGCCAAAGGATGCCTGAATGAAACATATTTGTATACCTAACCCTTAACTGTACCCCACAATATCAAAATAAAAAATATTGATTAAAAAAAAAAAGTGCCAAACAGACAAGGAAAAGGGAAATGAATCTGTGATCTGAAATTTGGGGAATAAAGCTTTTCCTCATTAGCAAAAAAATAAAAATAAATAATAATTAGCCAAGCATGGTGGCACATGCCTATAATCCCAGCTACTCAGGCTGAGGCTGAGGAAGGAGGCCGAGGAAGGAGGACTGCTTGAGCCTAGGCTGCGATAAGACATGGTTGTGCCACAGCACTGCAGCCTGGGCAACAGAGTAAAACCCCAACTCAAATAAATAAATTTACCAAAATAATGAAATCATACATTTAGTTCCTCAGTTACACCCACCACATTTCAATTGCACAATAGCAACATGGGGCTAATGGTTCCTGTATTGAATGGTGTAGATATAGAACCTTTCTGTTATTACCAAACTTCCCACTGGACAGCACTATTCTAGAATGATTTTCAATCTTTTCTAGCTTAATACATTTGGCAAGGGGCACTTAATAGCTAGAAGTAAGGACAGGGGCCTGGTGCATATGGTCAGTTACATTCTTTAAATCCAGACTTCCCATGTCTTCATATATTAACTCCTTGATCTTGTCCAAATGACTCTCCTAGAGGAAGGCTTAGGAAATATCTGTACTTGTGGAGACATAACAGCAGGTGAAATGAGGCCATGTCTAGGCAGTCTCATGGTTACTGGGACTGTAATCCTCCCACTCCCAGACAACCACAAACATGCTCCGATTAGGAGTGTCTGTGGTTATGAACTGAAGATTTGGGAAATGGGTTAGGTGACCTCAAAGGCATAGGAAGGAAAGGAATAGGAAATGCCCAATTCCTAACAGAGTCAGAGTCAAGGGGACCTACAACACTGATTCAGGGGTGGGAATGGGGGCTGGGGGGAATGAAGGAGAAATAGGGCAGAGCCAACAAGAATGAGTTCACTGGTCAGTTCCAGTCTGTTTGAACAGGATATACACAAGAGTAGAGGACCTTATTTTCTTTAGTGAAAAACCAGGACTTAGGGGCTGAACATGGGCAATCAGCTGAAATCTGTCTATGGCGTTGAGTGGTGTGACAACCCTCCCCTTAAAAGTTATGCATAGGATTCCTGAGGCCATGCAGCATTTCATATCCAAACCCTTCTGTGATCTCTTTATGTCTTCTGCCTGAGCCAGTGCCAGACATAATGAATTGTTTTCTTTGAGTTGGGATCTCACTCTGTTGCCCAGGCTGGAATGCCTGGTAATGTAATCATAGCTCACTGCAGCCTCGACTTCTTGGGCTCAGGGGATCCTCCTACCTCAGCCTCCCAAGTAGCTGGGACTACAGGCACATGCCACCAGGTCAGGCAAATTTTTTTTGTAAAGACAAGATCTCAAGCAATCTTCCTGCCTCAGCCACCCAAAATGCTGGGGTTACAGGTGTGAGCCACCATACCCAGCCTATGAATTCCATATATTGATTACCTGAGATGAGTCACTTTGATTTGGCCAAAGGAGATATGAAGGCAGGGGCTAAAGATTCCTGAAAGGGTCCATGCTGAAAGCTGAGAAAGGTGCTATCTGCCTTACCTGTTGGGGCCCTCCCACACACTGTCCCAAGGCACTTACCCCATATAATTGTAACTTCTTGGCATCCCCTTTAAGCACCACCTGGGAAGAAAGAAGAGACATGATGTTCCACACAACCAATCACAGGAGCCAGCCAGGTAGTATCAACCAGTGAAGGGAGTCCCCAGCCTCCACAGTGGGGAGACACCCTCTCTCCCATGATGGGGAAGGCTCTGGACTGTCTGGAGCAAGCCAGACCTGAGGACAGTAGAAGGGGTGAGTCTCAGGGAGGCCTAGGGGGATTCTTGGCCAGGGGAGCTTGAGCCTGTCCTCGTTCCCTCTCCCTGTAAGGGCAAGCAGTAAGTAGAGGAAGAAGTCTCAGGGTACTGTGTGGCTTTTTACCTCCTTGTATCCATATCGTTCACTCTGAGCCTGGTTCCGGAGTTTACTGGGAGAGAAATAAAGAGGGGGAGAGATCAGGTTACTATGCCTTTGAATAACCAAGCAGGAGAGGCTGGCTGGTTCCTTGGGTCTTCTGAGGGATGAGGGGTGCTTGTCCCATAGATATGGAGCGTGGAGACTATGCAGACCACCCAGAGCTGACTGAGGACTAAGACTCTTGCTTAGTCTCGGTAACTACAAAATTCACTGCCAGGACTCTAACACACAGATTGGGGGATTCTCCAGCAAAGCATCCCCAAATTGTTCACTCTCCCTGCCCTTTCCCAGCAGGTGAATTCCTGCAGACTCCCAAACTGTATAGCCTAATGACATGCTTACTTAGTGTGCAGCAGGAATTACTGTTTTTGAGTTGGAGTCTCTGTCGCCCAGGCTAGAGTGCAGTGGCATGATCACAGCAGCCTCAACCTCCTGGGCTCAGGCTGTACTTCCATTTCTATCTCCCAGGTAGTTGGGACTACAGGAGCATGCCACCATGTCCGGCTAATTTTTTTGATTTTTTTTTGTAGAGAAGAGGTCTCGCTATATTGCCCAGGCTGGTCTTGAACTCCTGAAAAGTTATCCTCCCACCTCAGAGTGCTGGGATTACTGGCGTGAGCAACCATGCCCAGCCATATCCTTAAAAGAGATATTTCCATGAAGCCAGGAGAGCAGGATAAATAAGTCTCTGTTGACCCTGGGGAATTTTCCGCCCAGAGAACACAAGCATTCTGGAACCAAAGCACACTCTTCCCTTCACAGTGCCAGGGATGCCTTCTTTGTTCTCTTCTTTTCATTTCGAGCTGGTGGCCTTCACACAGCCTAACTCTCAATGGCTAAACAGAGCATGTCGTTACTCATGACAATAGCACTAGTTGTCAAGTACTTGCTATGTATTGCTGGGACAGTGACATATTCACATATGTTCTCACTGAAACCAGACAACTTTCAGAGGGAGATACTTTTTTTTATAGATGGAGAAAATGAAGCCCAAAGAAGTGATTTGCCCAAACATCACAGAGCTGGCAGCACAATCTGGATTTGAATCAGTTTATGTGATTATAGTGCTCAAGCTCTTTACCACATAATGTGGTCTGATCCACTAATTAGGTAGAATACATCATAGCCCTGAGAATATGCCTTGGCCTTGGGACACACCCTACATCTCCCCCGAAATGCTTCCTATGAGAATGGCTGGGACCATAATTAAGTGCCATTTTATTTCCAGGAGAGGAAGTTTCTTGGGGTAGCTTTATTTTTTCAATTTATCTTAAAAAGTTTTTAGAGACAGGGTCTCACTCTGTCACCCAGGCTGGAGTGCAGTGGGGTGATCATGGTTCACCGCAGCCTCAAACTCCTGGTCTCACGTGATGTCTCTGCCTCACTCTTTCCAGTAGCTGGAACTACAAGGCATACACTACCATGCTCAGCTAGCTCAGCTAATTTATTTAATTTTTTGTAGACACGAGGTCTCACTATGTTGCCCAGGCTGGTCTCGAACTCCTGGCCTCAAGCAGTCCTCCTGCCTCAACCTCCCAAAGTGCTGAGATTGCAGGTGTGAGCCACTGTGCCCAGCCAGAATTCTGTAGATGGAGTAAGATGGCCTCCTGTACGTGGGCTCTAAGAGGGAGCCTGGTGGGGCTTTTCCCCACAGGTCATTTCCAACACAGGTCTGGATTACTGGAAGGAAGCACCAGAAATCCAGCAAGTCAGAGGGGTGGGAGGGGGAGAAACTCCAGTCTGAGGGCCATGTCCACCTCAAAACCTGTTTTTTGGAATGGTTCTTAGAGTTGTGGGACACATATGAGGATTTACTGAACAAGTAAATTACATGCAGGTGAGGTTTGGCCCTCTAGTGAGCCCTCTCGCCCCTGATAGTGGACCTGGTACCCAATGTGCTGTTGTGTGGCCTTATCCCTCCTCCCCTACTCCCTCCCTCAGCAATGTCCAGCATCTGTTGTTCCTACCTTTATGTGTGTATCCAATGATCAGGGGCCTCTTATGAGTGATTTTTTTTTTTTTTGAGTCAGAGTCTCACTCTGTCACCCAGGCTGGAGAGCAGTGGCATGCTAATGGCCACTGCAGCCTCGACCTGCTGAGTTCAGGCAATCCTTCCACCTCAGTCTTCCAAGTAGCTGAAACTACAGGCATGTGCCATCACGCCTGACTAGTTTTTTGATTTATTGTAGAGATGAGGTCTCACCAAGTCACCCAGCCTGGTCTCAAGCCCCTGGGGTCAGGCAATCCTCTTGCCTCATCCTCTCAAAGTGCTGGGATAACAGACGCCGGTTCTTAATGTCAAATGGTTGAAAACAGAAATAAAGACAAATACCTCTTAACACATGAAAATTACATGAATTTCAAACTTCAGTGTCTGTTAAATTTTACTGATACACAGTTTCATGGCTTTTCATATCATCTGGCCACTTTTGCACGCTAATGAAGAGTTGCATCGTTGTGACAGTGACAGAGACCTCATGACCTGCAAAAGCCTGAAATATTTACTCTGACCCTTCACAAAAGAAGGATTGCTGACCTGATTCAGAAAAAGAGCACCTCAAGTCACAGAGCACCCCAATAGGGGAGGGCAAGAGATGCTCCAGGGGCAGAGGAGAGAGGCTGAGGCTGAAGCTGCTCCCGGGGAAGAGAGAGCAGAAAGTGGGGCAGAGCCAGGCCTGGAGCACAGCACAGGGCAGAGAAGACCAGGCTGCCAGCCTCCTACTTCATTTCTGACAGGAAATCAGGTGACTTGGCAAAGCTGTGTGTTCCTGGAGCCTCCTGAGAACTCCAGTCCAAGTGGACTCCTGCCATGGGCTTGGGGGCTGGGGTGGCACATCCACTGTCCTCCCTTCTCTCCACTGTGTGCTCTCTGCTCATTGCAGGGTTGGGCTTGAAGGCCTCACCGGGGTCCTGCTGTCCCAACCTTTGCTTTCCAGAGAACGCCTTGGCCCAGAAAGGGCCTTTATTCATAGAATGTGTCTCTGTCCCAGCTTCCCATGAGAGGGCGGGATGCATCTGAAACTTAAGTGGGTTGCTGTTACCTGACTTTGCGTTAAGCTGGGACAGGAAGAAAGTGTTCCTGTGGTCAGGGAACTCACAGTCGTCTTCTCAGGGACACTGTGGCTCTGTCATGAGGTACGTGCAGAGCAAATAAGGAAGTGGTAAGGAGCCTGTGTTCTTAACCGTCTGGGGGAATGAGACTGCCACACGTCTTTTGAGACTCCAATGACTCACCTGAAACATAGCTCTACTTATGTAGTGCGTGCTGTCTTTCTTCCTTGCTGTCTGGGTACCCAGTGCCCTCTCCTGTTCTCCCCTCCTCCCTCTTGTCTGGCTGGCTCCCTTTAATGCTGTCACCCAAGGATTCTCCAGAATGGGGAAGGGCTTCAGAGCTGCCCCTTCATCCTGCATATCAGCTTCGGCTCAGAAAGGATTCGGTCATGATGAAATGAAGCTGAGAAGGTTGCAAGGAAAATAGAACAAAAAAGCAAAGACCCTGGGCCATCCCAGCTGGAGCTATAGTACCAACAACTCCAGACAGGTGGCCTTTTCAGCTGCTGGGTGAGCACACCAACTAAAAATACCCAGATTTCAATAAGACCATTTCTAGCTGCTGCCAGTGGGTTCTCCCTTTCCTCTTTTCCCTTTTAGAACAAACAATGTAGCCAGGTCCTGAAATAATTATTCCCTTCCTGCCCATTTGTACTTCCCTGGCCCCTCCATCCTGTGTAGGGCAGAGGCCAGCTCTGAGAGAGGGAGGAAGAATACACAGAGGGGAGGCTGGCCTTGGCCACTGAGCTCACCAGGTTGGGAGCAGTGGTCATGGGCCTATTTTGGCTGAGGAGGAAACCAAGAAGCAGGGAGAGGAAGTGGTGGCTTCTGTACTTGTGTGTCTTTCTATATATAGATACACACAGGCTGCTACATACCAGTGAGCCTCTGGGACTGAGAAACTCCAGGGTCAACTGGTTTTGGGTAGGCTGTAGGAGAGGGCAGGGTGACAAAGGAGCAGATTACCACAGAAGGGACAGGTGGTGCGGGCAGCTCACAGCAGGGACAGCTTTTAGTATCATGTGGCTACTGCTCTGTTCTTTTACTCTAGCCAAAGAGCAAGGGATTGGCAGTTCACAGCCCTCTAGCCTATCTTCCTGCAAGACCCAAGCCCGAGCTCTAAGAAGGAGGTCACGGATGCTATAGCAGCCCCTCTACTTCCTATTCAAGGAATAAGACTTGGCCAGGTGCAGTGGCCCACACCTGTAATCCCAGCACTTTGGGAGGCTGAGGCAGGAGAATTGCTTAAGCCCAGGAGTTCAAGACCAACCTAGGCAGCAACATAGCAAGACCATGCCTCTACAAAAAAATTATCTGGGCGTGGTGGTGTGTGCCTGTATTTCTAGCTATTTGGGAGGCTGAGATGGAAGGACGATCTGAGCCTAAGAAGTGGAGGCCGTGGTGAGTCATAATGTGCTACTGCACTCCAGCCTGAGGAACAGAGTAACTCTCGACTCAAAAAATGAAACTAAAAGATAAAAAAGAAAAAAAAGGAACAAGACTCATAGAAAGCCAATACACAGAAGGTATCTGAAAGACTCCAGCTAATCGCTCCCAGACTAGCCCACCTGTGTATCTTTCTCTGCATATGACCTTAGGCAAATCCTTCACTGTCTGAGAATGAATTTCCTCATTTATAAAGTGGGCTAATACTTAAACTGAGGATTAAGTGAGCTAAATGGTTTACAAAATGCTGACCACAACTCCTGGCAGACAGAAGGTAGTGGGTCAAGAGTAGCTAAAAAGCTAAGGCCACACCTATTAGTGGCTGAATTAGGAAGTGAACACTGGTCACCTACTCCCTAGCCAAGAGCAATTTTCCCTAAAAAAAGTCTTCTCTTGACCACCTTTGTGGCTCAGTATGTGGGTACCTCTATGTGTGGGGATGGAGGAGAGAGACAGGCAGAGAGGGAAGGGACCAAATAGAGTTGATTTTACACACTCCCCCTAGTCTCATCATAAATAAATCTTTGATATTGGGCATGTCTCCAGGGAATTGCTTGACATGGGGGTACAAGGTGAGGGAGGGTTGGTGGTCAATAAAAGTTTAAGGAAAAAAACAGACTTCAGGAAGAGGGTCAAGGGGGAAGGAAGGAGATACCAGAAATCTACCCTTTTACTCTACTTAAAGATGCAAATTTCAAGCCGGGCTTGGTTGCTCAGCCTGTAATTCCAGCGCTTTGGGAGGCTGAGGTAAGTGGATTGCCTGAGCCCGTGGGTTC